TCGATTAATCGTAGCAGCCCTAAAATATACAGAATGATATATACTGATGAAGCATTTTTGAATAAGAAAACAAGTTTCCTTTCAACTTTCCTCAACATGTAAATGATAAACCTTTCACATTCAATTTGTTATCATTACCAGTAACGCAGTATCGACACTGGTATTGGCAAGAGGTATTTAGYCTGAGTACCTGTAAAAAGGTATCCAGACACTACTATAGACCAGTATGTTTCCTTTATAAAACCTTCTCAGATTTTAGACACACCTGACCGGGAACAACCAACAAATTTTTCTACTTTTCGTGATGATTCATTTTCTTGAAGTGTCATTATCCTCTTCTTTGTTTTAACTGATATATCTCATGTTGCAGCCATAATTTGTGTTATTCTGCTTTGTGCAACAGCTCTACAAGGTGAGCTTCTTTTTTAACAATTAGCTAATTTAATCTGACACAGGTGTTTGAAAATTGCAAATTACAGTAATCTGATATTTTCTTTTTCTATTTAAGCTAAAAAAAACAGCAGCAACTGTGACTGAATCCAGCGATTACATGTCTTTCTTTCTTTTATTGTTTCCTAATGCCAGATAGTCAGAATTTTGAAAAATGATAGATATGTGAAATGGTTGGGATTTATTTTTATGCAGTAATAAACAATTGAAATCCTCTTAATTGTTTACTCAGAAAATCAAGGGTCATTTAAGCCTTTTTGCAAAGAGAAAGGTGTTTCACTTACATGTACATCAACAAGTTATGATGTGGCCTTTCTTATTTTCTTTAGTGAGTGTTTACAAGYTACAAGTTCTGTGAGACATTTTTTATAAAACAGCTCTGCTGTGGCTGTAAGAAGAAACAAACCAAAAAAAAAAAAGCATAGTAATGACACAGCATTCCAGGAAAGCGACAGACTGAAAAGATGGAGACAAATAAGGAAAGAGAGTTACAAAAAAATGAACATAGACTTTTCTTGGCCGATCCAAAAGCTGTCCAGGAATAATGGCTGACTTGTGCACTCCTCTGCCTGCTGATCTTTATGGTTTTATAAAAATACACAGGAGGAGGAGCCTCGGACACTCAAAGCATCTTGACCACGTCTGTGTTTATTCAGGGCCGAGGGAATACTGGTGAACTCTTTCGGGTTCACTGCAGCTGGCGTTTGACGCGGGGCTGCAAAAGACATGAGGCCGAAGAAAAGATGTGTATCGTTTTTATAAACATTTACAGAGCATGTGGCCAACATGCATGGCTCAATGCACTTTGCCAGAACATAAGGCCATACTGATCTTGATAAGACTGATCCCTCAAGAATTTTACGCAAACCACTATGTGTAATTCTTGTCGATGCATATATTAAGGGKTTTTTTTCGATAACAGAAAAAAGTTAATCAACAGATAACCGTTTCAGACTGATGTGGAGCATTTAGTCTTCACACCCTGATTCTCTGTTACAGTTTTGACTGAATGGGACCTTTCAGCAAAAGATCAAGCAGCCAGACATTGAAAAATCTTCGCAGTTAGGTGCCGCAGGAGGGTGTAACATTTACCATGAGGGCTCAAAAAATGTAAAAACCAAAGAAGAAGGTGCAGGAAAAGAAATCAGGCAAACTTGCAGTACTTTAGAAAATTATCTTATGTAAAAAAACACATACTTTGTATTCTCCAAAACACTGGGCTGAGAAATTTTTAACTAGGCCAGATAGATTTTCTGGTCCGGTTATTGTTTAAGTACTAAAACGTTTTTTGGTTTGTTTTGTTGTTGTTGTTGTTGTTTYTTGTAAAGCTGTTGCCACATAAAAGAGATCAGAATGGTGTAACTCATGCAAGTTTATGGCAAAAAAAAACTTGTTAAAATGTTTCAACAACCAAAACTTCAGAGTTTCAGCACTTGTGTTAAATAAATCCCAAAGATTCCCAGATTGCAACACGATACATCCCTGACTTCCACTTTTGGGATTTAGCAGCTGTTTCCTTGTTAGTGATTTTTTTTCTTTATTGGTTGGTGACTGCAGATTAGGATGTACTGTAAAACCTTCACACTGGAACCTTCATTTAGACCTCCTGTAGCGGCCTTCTGGCTTTGTAGGTTGAGATTTCAACCACATCCAAACATCTCTGCTGACCCATAAACTGTTTGTTGGCACCAAGAACCATCTGTTGTGTTTTTTCTTACAGATAAAACAAAATGTCTTATTTATTGCCCAATGCCATGGAACGTGGGTGGTTGAGTAATTGTTTGTGTTTGTGTGTGCATGTTTGTTTGTCTGTTAAAGTATCTCATGAATCACTGAGTGGATTTTGCTCAAAGTCTCAGAATGAGTATCATAAAACATTCAACTGGTATTGGTTTCATTTTGAAGCCAACCTGATTCAAATCCACATTAGCAAACATAAAATTGACTAAAATTCAGTCAATTTCATAGATATTAAGCTAAAATTTTACCTTTGTTTAAAACTTTGGCATATAAGGTGTCAGACAATATAAAGTATAATCAATTCAGTATCAAAATAGTCAATGTTGCCAGAAAAAAAGCCAAAGTTTAAAAACGCAGAACAGATTTTCTCCCAGTCTACAGACAGTTTGACAACTTTATTTTCTGTGCTCTGCTGTTGTGTATTACAAAGCCTGCCAGATTCCCAACTTGGCACAAAAAGATTTGACTTTTTGGTAAAGAGCGGCAGCTGAAAATGACAAGATATACCAAACAATTCTTCAATGACTGTTGCATAAATAATTCAAATGCAAAATAAGAAGCGGGAGATTGTGAGACAAAGGAAATCTGATTTTAAAATCTTTAAAAAGTAAAGAGTACGCATTTATACGTTACGTTATTAGTACATTATTTGAATTGGGTCAAAAACTAAAGAAGACCCAAACGTATCAGCCACTGTGGCTCTTGTGTGTTTGTGTATAGAAGATGAACAGAAGGATAAAGTGCAGAGTGTGTGAGGTGAGGAGGTCACCAGACTGAGCAAATATTACTGTTAGTTTCTTTAAAGCCCAAACTAAACATGAAGCTGAAGATGATATTGTTATATTACTCACGCAGAACAATGAGGAATAGACATTTTTTACTGCTTTCTAGCCATTTAAATTTTTCTGTGGTCAATTAATTGTAGCAGCCATCTTGAATTGGTTAGGAGATGCAGGGACAGACTGGCAAACAAGTCTACCGGGATTTTTCTCGGGGGGCCGATTGGCTGTTGGTGGTTYGGCCCGTAGAGGTGCTGTAGCGCTCTGCCCCATGGCCACTGCAGCATGCGCTTGTTTTGTGGCACCACGATGCCTCCATAAAGGCTGGGATTTTAGTTGCGCTTTGGGTACTCGTGTAGGACGCGCACACACCCTCGCCATCGGTGGCGATGTTTATACATAGCGTTTACATTGTTGTATATTTCTCCAAAAGGACACATGGCAGTACATTTTATAACTTGTGAGATGTAAATAGAAGAGCAAAGGTGTGACGAACAAACAAACTGTTCGAATGGTGGCCGGCGCAAGTAAAGCGCCTCCAGTCAGCTGATCTGCTCAGAGCGTGGCCAGCTGCGGAGTGCACTTATGGGACCACATGCACAGTAACTCCGTTTGTCTCTCACATCCAACAGATGCACAGTGCTGTGGTTCCGCCTCACCGTTCCTCTGGGAACAGCACCTGTCAATCACCAGGGGCGCAACTACATTATAAATATAAAATCTGGCAGCACAGTGGCACAGTTGGTAGRCCGGTTGTTTCTCAGCAAAATGATTACTGAATCAAATCCCAACATGGGATCATTCTGGGTGATATTTACATATTCCCCCTCTGCATGACTTTTTCCCCAATACTCCAGTTTCTTCTCAAAGACCAAAGACATGCACTTTAGCTTCACTGGTACACACTGTAGGTCTCAAACAAATGCTTACTTGGTAAATGTTTTTTTAACGAAGTCATGTTCAAGTCTGAGTAACTTAAACCCAGGATTTGAAAGTGAGTCAGTTTGTCAGGAACCTCCGGGCCACATTTTCTCCCCAGTCCACCCCTGTGGAGATGTACAAATCCATCCAATGATGACTGAGTTTCACAAAAACGCATTCACGGATTTAGAACTTTTTTTTTTTTTGCTAACAGACTAATACAGTATACATAATTGTCTGCCTTTTATGGTGGCGGGTGATCAATTTATGCTTTTTAGTGTGAGGG